ACTGATATTTGCCGGGCTGGGGCGCCTGGCCGGGCCGCAGGGGATTAGTCGGGTCCCGTAAGAATTGACCCGGACACTCCTGTGTAGACAAAAAAAAAAAAAAAAACTAAGGTTACTGATATGTTACGCCAATTAAATTTTAGGCTTTCTACATAAAGTCAGTGGCCCTTGGGTAAACTTATATGCCTATGCCTCCAGCTTTTGGTAGAGTTTTCTTCCGGGGAAGACCAGTTAAAACAAATGTAGATGGTGGTCAGGTTGAAATTTGCAACCAATCAAGAATATATAGGTTCAGAAGATAACACCCTTTGTATTTGCAATGTGTTCAATTCTTATGAGAGATTGAGACTTCAGATAGGTGTAGCTTATTAGTGACACCAGACTTGGAGAAGGCCAGGCCTAATGCAGGCACAGGGAAAAGGGCATCAATAATAATAAGAATTTGGTTAGTGAATTTACGATTAGTAATTCCGATATAACAACCTGACTAAATTTTCACACATTATGACACATGATTAGTAAGTATATAACAACATACCAACATTAATCACTTTTGGATAGCAGTTGCGGGTTTCCTTGTCAACAAAAACATACCAACATTGATGCTGGAAATTCACTAAACAACAACTCTTCTGCCCACAATTTTTGCATTTGATTAACTCGAGAGATGCTACGAATTTTCTTTAGTGGAAAACTTAGCTGGTATTTGATGGAATTTGGGTGGAAGTCAAGGGACCAACTTCATATAGAAACTGCTAAATTATTACGTTACAAAATCCAGAAAATTTGAGATTGTATTAGTTCACTTCAGACCCGTTTAGCAGTTCCCTACCCTAAGAATCTACGAATTTCTTAGAGAATTTTTTTTTTAAAATTTTTTTAGTAAAGGTGGGATAGGATTTAAGAAGCAAGGAGGAGACAAAGGAATTAGAATCCAGAATCTTTATGTTATGGGGCCTCAACCTTTAATTAATTTTTTAGAGATGGAGCCAATCAAACAAAAAAAAAAAAAAGAGCAAAGTAGTTTTGCTTATATGTGTTAACAATTGAAAAATAACCACCCAAAAAAAAAAAGTTCCATAGACACGCATATGCTGACCAACTCCTCTCTTCTTAACTTATTTTCTTGTGTCTTTTGGGGTGAAAAATTAATTATTTACCTGCATGCTACCTCATATCCGAATTTGGTTGGTTGAAAATGAATATTTTAGCCGCAAATACCAGAAAAGGCCAAAAGGAAAATGGAACCCCAGCTTACCACCTTACTCGAACGTTAGTCCAATGTGGCTTTGATCACCAATGAATGGATGACAGTTTTGAGGCCCATTTCAGAGTGGGAGGCATTTAAGAATTCTTTTTAAGCTCGAAATTTTTTGCCATCATGATTCAGACCAGCATAAAAAAGAGCCTTTTGGTCTTTGTTCTGTCTTTTTGGGCAGTCCAATTGTAACCAATCTTTACTAGTTTTCGATTCATGTCTTTAGTCCGATCTTTCAAGCTCACGATCAGATCTTCTGAGAAGAATTTGGTTTCTGGACAGCCAATTGCAAATTTGTAATCCATGTTTTATTCCTCATTGTAAGTAGACCAATTACTTTATACGTATTTCAACTTTGTCAAAAATAAACTATATTGACCTTTCCTTTTGACCCTTTTACCTTCATGTTTCTTATTCCAATCTTTTAAGTTAATTTCAATACTTACACAAAATTTTATTTAAATTACGATCACTTCCGCTGAGAAATAAAAAGCAATAGGTTTTGCTGCTATATTCAAGCTTTTAAAGAAGTAGAAGATTTGGTGTTACAACTGGATTACGGTCTAGTAGTATGAAGCTTGGAAGTCTGCCGTAGTGTTTTAAATTTTTGTAACAGTAATCGTAGGTACAACAATGGATCCGTATGGATGAGCTATTTTTAGAAGTATTTTAAAAAAAATTTATTGTAATGATGCACATGAAAAACTTTTATTGTAAATGGTTAGGTATTTTTGAAGGGTATTTTTAAGGTGCTTTGAGGATGTATTTTGGAGTATTTTTAAAATTTAAAATTTTTTGAAATATTTTTTGAAAATTAAAAATAACACCACATACCACCGCCACCAACCCTTTCTTCCTCCTTTCTTGCCATTCTTCCTCTTTCCTCTTCCTCCCTCTTTCTCTCGTTCCCTCCTTCCTCCTCCCCTCTCCACTTTCCTTTTCCCCCCACTGAAACTTCCCCCTTTTCCCCTTTTCAATTATGACCAAAGCTCCTTCGGTCACGACTGAGATCTCAGTCATAATCGGGAAGGGGAAAGGAGGGGGAGGAAGGTTCTAGTGGGGGGAAAGGAAAGATAGAGAGGAGAGAAGAGGAAGAAAGAAAAGAAAAAGGGAAAGAGATGAAAAAAAAAGAAGGGAGAGAGTGGCATCAGTGATGGATGGTGATCATAGGTGGCAGTGGTGCGTGATAGTGGGTGGAAAAAAGAGTATAAATTTTTATTTATTTTTTAGGTATATTTGAAATGGGATAATTTTAGAAACCTCCCTTGAGGTTTTTTCTAATCATACCTTGCAACCCTAAAGTTTCTGAAATCACACTTAACACCCTTGACAACTTTTGTAACATATTAGCCCCTTTAGGTAAAAATAGTATTAAAAAGTGTATTTAGGAGAGAGACTATAATATTCTTCCACGTTTGCCCTTTTGCAAGTTGATTTTTGAAAACTCGAAGATGAAATTAAAAACAAGTTGATTATTTTTCTACCCTTTTCATATTTCTTGTGCAAGAAAAGGCAAGAACAAAGAAAAACCCTTTATGTTCGATTATGTAAAAATAAAGTAACAAAATGCCATAAAATTTGGACACATTTTGGGTGTTTTTTTTTTTTTTTGCATATGCAACCGAAGATAGGTTTTGAGATACTTAAACAATCTAAACATAAAAAATTTAACTTTTTTTAACTATGATTTTATCGTGTTATCTAGTTTAATCAATAAGAGGTGAGGAAAAATAGATTAAAATCATTCATTTGTTGAAGAAAAATGCTGCAATACAGTTGAAATCATGAAAAAATGCATATTAAATATATCTATAATGGCGTTCAATTATCAAAAACAAAATTTTTGAAAAACTGGTTAACAAACAGTATTAAAAAAATTTATTTCCTTTCTATCCAAAACTTTGGCACAGATCTTATAACGGTCATACGAATCAACAAAAAATATACAATTCAACAGTTATTGTACTTACACTCTCTTAATTACTATGTAAGTATTGCAGTCCTATTTGTTTTTATTTTCATCTTCTAAAATTCAAAAATCAACTTACAAAAGGGCAAAATTGGAAGAATACTATTGTCCCTCTACTAAATATATTTTTAGTATTATTTTTACATAAAAGGGCTGACATGTTACAAAGGTTGTCATTGTAAGGGTGTTAAGTGTAATTTTAGAAACTTGAGGGGTGTTAGGTGTGATTAGAAAAAACCTCAAGGGAAGTATTTGAAATGAGGTGTGATTAGAAAAAACCTCAAGGGAGGTATTTGAAATGATCTCATTTCAAATTGTGTATATTTTTTGCATTGTTACTATAGATTTCACAAACAAAAAACAGTTTTTGAAAAAAAAAAAAAAGAAGATACATCCAAATAGAGCCTATATTTTTCGAACAAACTAAGTAAAACTTTTGAAAAAATCAGTGAAGGGGGATTTTATCTGGGATACCCGAAAAAAAATTAATGAAAAACATGCCATTTCCTTTAAAAAAGACAGAGGATAGGTTCTTAAATATGCATAAAATTTGTTTAAAGTGGTAAAACGTGCGCCATACTTCATCACCACCATTGTTATATTTTTGGTAAATCCTTTTCGTGGTGTGGCCACGGCAGCCATCTGTTTTCCATGGTGCGTCACCCTGTGGGTGTGACTTTCAACTACTCTCTCTTAAGCCCAACCATATGGTTGATTTAAGAAGCAAAATTTCATATTCCATTTAACAGACGAGGGATGAGATTTAACAAAAAAGAAGCTCTAAATTCTAGAGTTTTAATTTTAATCACTAAATTAAAGCCTTCTCCGTAGCTGATCCAAGGATTACGAATTTTTCAATACAAAAAAAAAAAAAAAAGTCCAAACATCGCTCTCCACTAATAAATAGTTAAGGCATAATATTCAGCAAAATGGAAAAGAAAACTTCAAGACATTTTTGACAACCAGCAAACCGGCAGGTCTTTGACCAATAATCTCCTCTCATCCGTGCGCTGAGCTTGGCATTCTCAACCGTTGAGAGCTCAAGTTGACATAGAAACTGCACAGCTCCCTCTTGGGTAATGCGGCCGTTCGGTTTGACTTGAATGAGAGGATGCATGACCAACACTAATTTGTTTTTTAAATGTTTTGCGTTTCTTGCGACCATTTTCTTTAGTCAAATCCTGTAAGGATCCTTAAACCCGCAGCTGTAACATTTTCTGACCTTATCCTAACTTTTGAGTTTGAACTTTGGAGTTTGGACTAAGTATTTATGAGACTCCAAAAAGGATGGAGTTTTCAACCCATCAACCCAACCCAACTCGTTCTTTTGCGGCTGTCCATGACACGAACTATCGTCTTGTGTTAAATCTAAAAATCGATAGTTTCTAGCAAAAGCATACACAATCTATACAAATGTTGAATTAATCACATGTCAAAGATGTCCAAATTGTTTAAGTTGATCCTCTGAACCGTTTGATGTCCAAATTATTATCTTTACCAATTCAACCGTGCTAACAAATAGGAGTACAAAAATGCTTCTCATTGTTTTTGATCAGGGATTGCTTATGTAAAGCTACTTTTTTTTTTTTTTTTTTATATATATTAGTAGTCACAGAAATTAGGAATTCGTTTGGATTGCTATATTTTAAAATTTTTATGAAAAAATATATTGTAATAATTTTATTGTATGTGAAACAAAAATATGATTAAAAAATATATTCATAAAAAATGTAAAAATTTTTCTTCAGAAAATTACAATATAAACAAGTCGTCACTAAATCAATAAATTATATAGCCATTTGAATTGGCTAACTCTCATTAATCAGCGTTTACAAATGTAACAATAATGATATTTACCTCTTCACCAAAAGTAGTAGCAGAAGCATTAGGGAAAAAGAATTTCTAAATCCATATCCAAAAAAAGGGAAAAAAGAAAAGAAAATAAAAAAAGCTAATTACCAAATGAGTCAATCAACGAGGCGCTAATGACACCGAGAAATCAGTCGGAAGTCTAACCCGGTCCGACCACATTTTCGAGTCCAAATAAAGCTTGGATATTTTTCCCGCGACCCGTCGCATATCGGGTCTCTTATTCGGATCCACATGTGCGCATTCCAACACCAGACGGATTAACTTCTCCGCCACCTCCACCGGGAACGAATCCTTCAACCGCTTATCCACCCACCGTCTCAGCCTTCCCTCCACCGTTTCATTACCCTCTCCGCCAGTTTCCACCGCCTCCGTCGCTGAATCGATAATTGAAATCTTCCTATAATCTCCACTCGCTTTATCATATTTATACTTCAGCGGCTCCTCCCCGGACAAAAGCTCCAGAATCACCACTCCAAAAGCGTACACGTCAGACTTCTGCGTCGCCAAGCCGGTGGACTTAAACTCCGGCGACATGTATCCTCTCACTCCTTCAAATTGCCTACCCCTACTCCCCGACCTCCGCAGCTCCGGCAACTCCTCTTCCGTTATCTCACCTCTTTCATATCTCTCCGTCTCGGAGCATAGCTCGGCGGCTCCGAAATGGCAAATTCGGGCATTCAAGGAAGGCTCAGTGATAATAATTCCGCTGCTCTTCACGTACTTGTGGACCAAACTTATGCTGAATCCGGCTGCGGTGTGGATATAATTCAAGCCGTTAGCTAAATCCGTGGCGATTTGCATTCGCGACATCCAGGTGGAAAGAACGGTGAAATCAGGGTTTCTAGGATTTCGGAGACAAGTAGAAAGATTCGAGCCGCTGATAAATTCATAAACTAAGTAAATGTGATCGTTTGAAATGGAAGCTCCGAGGAGCTTGATTAAGCATTTATGATGGCTTTTACAAATTGCCGATAATTTGGATCTCAGCTCAGATTCGTGGATTGTCTGATGGATTTTCCGTTGAAAAATAATGACGTCTTTTCCGTTGAGCTCGCAGCGCCAGGACTGGGAGGAGGAGGAGGAAGTGGAGTAGCGTTTGGCGAGAAAATTGTTGGTGGCGGAACGGATTTCGGAGAAATCATAAATATGGGCGTGTTCCGGGAGGGAGAGATGGAGGCTGGAGAGGGATGTACGGCTTGAAGCGGAGGTTGTGCCTACCGACGAATTTAGTCGAAAATCAGAACCGGAGCCGGTGGCCGGGGCAGAACCTGAATGAAAGGTGCCGCTGGTGGAGGGACTGGAGGAAGGAAGTTTAGCGAATGGAGAATTTGGGGAGGGGCGGCGGGGAGATTGTGTTGCTTGAGGGGAGGTTCTGGGTTTGGTCCTGACCGGACGTGGGGTGGGATGGGGTGGCGTAGTTGGGATGGGTTCGGAGGCATCGGTTGCCATTTTGGATCTACACATGCGACGATGACGAGGAAAGAAGGTGGTTTTATTTCCTTTATTTTCTAAGCTTTTAAGCTGGGAATGGGAATGGGGTGGAATTTGGGATTGTTTAGAAAAAAGAAGAAGAAGCTGAATTGGAAAAGGAGGGATTCGAGTCATTTGATGGAGGCATAGACTTTCGGCCTGAGGCTTTTATGAGGTTGGGGTTTAAAGCTTTAAAGGGTAGAGAAAAAGTATTTACGCTGTAATTAAAATGTTTTAAGTCAAATGATGCTGATGATTTTGATTATTGAAAATGGAAAAGGTTGTTTGGTTTGGTTTGGTCTGCCGTACTTTGATGAGGTTGGAGAAGTGCAAAAGCGTCGGGGCAGACTTTCCTTTACAGGTCTCCAACTCGATTGCCTCGAAGAAACAACCTCACGGGCCGACTTAGTTTGGATAAAATGATTTGGAGAGACAGTTACGTAGATTGGTTCGCTTGCTAAGAACGAAACAATACCTTTTATAAATAAAGAGATAATAGTGTATTTGAATCTTATTCTCTATGTGAAGGTGGTCGAATATTGGCCGTAAGTGACTTCAAGAACTTGTAAGTGATTTAGAATATATTTGAATTGTTATTTTTTAAAATTTTTATAGAAAAGTATACTGTAATAATTTGATGTATATAAAGTAAAAAATGTGATTTAAAAATATGTTCACAAAAAATGAAAAAAGAATTATAGAAAATAACAGCATTGCAAACAAGGCCACAGTTTTTCTAATGTCAAGTTTACACATATATAATCACTGAATGGATATTTAATACTAAATCATAGCGATGAACTTTTTTTTTTTTTAGTTTCGTCTTGTTTGGAAGGTTATTTTTTTAAATTTTTTTTTATTTTTTATGAAAATATTTTTCAATCAATTTCTTCTTATCTTACATATATCAAATTATTACTGTACATTATCTATAAAAGTTTCAAAAAATAGCAATGTAAATGAACCTAAATATATTTCCTCTTCTTTCATATTCTCCTTTAAGCTTTCTCCTCCAAACTCCAAAACTCGGCCTAACAATAAAGAAGGATGGATGGAGGTGGGAATGTTGTGGACGCAATAGAAGCACCGGTGGCTGTCACTTGTCAGGTTGGGCGTTGGAAGAAAATCATTACTATTATGACGGCTGGAAAGTGAGGTACAGTAAAAAGAAGAAGAAACAGAGAAATACAAAGTATATGGACATTTGATGAAGACGGGAGTGAAGAAGAAATAATTTGCTAATTAACCATCTAAGATTGGTGACCGACCCAGATGTTCTGGACCTTGTAAACTTTCGTAAATGGATTTGGATGTATCCTTTTGTTGGATTTTCTCTCCTGCTTCCCCTCTCTCTCCTTTGTTTTTGGTAGCAAGCTTTTCTCCTATGCAGTATGACTCTTGAGTTTTGTCTACTTGCCTTTGGACCGCAGCCCTTCTATTATTTGTTAATTTGACGGCTTCTGGCCCTGTTCTTTGCAGTTGCAGGTTTATCTGCATCATTTCTTGAACTTTTCTCTGGTCTTCTTCAAATGAAAATTCCATGCGTGTGAAGGAGCTCCTCTCCCTGTCTTCCAAACTCAGCAAGTACCAAACTCAGTAGACTTTTTTAATGGTAAAAAAAACTAAAATCTATAATCACATGAAGACTAGTTTTTTAGTTTTTGTTGATTCTGATGATCAGTTTCTATAACAACTCTTGGAAACTAATCTCTTGTCGGTCATATGAATCGTGTGGTAGGCTATAAACTAATCTTAATATGCGTCTAATCAGATATAGTGTCTAATTTTTATCCCAACTAGAATTCAAAAGATGACAATTTTCAGCCGGCCTGTCCTTTCGAATTGTTTTTTTGTTGGAATCCAATTAAAGAACAATTATTTGGTATGCTCAAAAAAAAAAATTTTTTTTTTTAAAAGCGTTCGAAGCAGGACAGGAACTGCATGAGGTAGTCCTGGGATGGCGGTCTGCGGGGGTACCTGCATTAAGAATATTGACAATCAATACACCATTAGGATATTATTAAGACTTATAAAAAAAGTAGACTTTAAGCAACAGCCATCATATCCACAATCTACTTTACCGTCGTTTGCTTCAAACTACTAATATAATTATAGGTGACAAATATTCTTTACGATAAAAAAATCTCAGCGACCATTAAACTATTGCTTGCGTTGATTTTTGATCGTCAAATAATTTTTCGTCATAAATTGACTACTAAACTAATTAATCAGCAGAATCGTGGATTTTTGGCTCTTAATCTACAAAATAATCAAAACGCCCAGGGCTATTTTTATCCACCACTAACTCGACCATATTTCCTTGCTCCGTCAATTTCCAGCAAAACAGCTCATTTTAGTTTTATTGATGGCAACAGCTATACCCTTACTCTTTCTAGATAAATAGTATTAAATGTATGTATTTTCACCAACTCCAAAATTCATCCAATATAATTAACATTTAGTAGTGGACAAAAATACCCTTATGCATTCTAATTATGTTGTAGATTAAGAGCCAAAATCCATGAAATGGCCACGGGTGTATTGATTAGTTAGTTTAATGATAAATTTGTGATGAAAAATTGTTTGATGGTCAAAAATTAATTTGAGTAATAATTTAATGGTCACTGAGATTTTTGTCCTAAAAATACTGCCAGTAAGCAGTACCATCATGTTCATAACATACTTTAGTGTCGTTTGCTTCAAAATAATATAGGTGACAAATATAGTATTCTTTAATATTATTATTATTTAAAAATTGTAGGTAACTATTGAACGCCGCCATTATCCTGACATTATCTGCTCCGCCATACCATTACTTGTTTATTGGCAGATAAAAACTACGCATCTTCAACAAGTCAATTCAAAGATCGGATCATTGCCTTCGGTTTGCAAATTAGTATTAGTATGAGAAAGAAACAGTAGTCTAACTTGACCAGTTTACACCCTGCGAAAATGTATTCAAGCTATATGCAGTTCAACAATTGAAAGTTGCGTATTCAAAAAATTTTCTGCATTTCAACCATTGTTATGTCATCTGCAATTCGCCATGTATCTATTATGGACAGCAGAAATTTCGAAACGAAATTGTAAGTTTGTTTGGATAGCCTATTATTTAGAAAAGGAGAAAACAAACGTCATATTATAAATACATTTGTCAATGGCTTTTTTTTTTTCTTTAGAAAATTACATGAAGATCTCTGATACATTGCATTAATTACCAAAAGTGTTATAATATTATTTTATAAAAATTTTTCAAACTATCTTACACACTCAGTTTTATTCGCTCGTTTTACACACTCAGTGGTGATGAACTGGAGGGTGGACATATTTAGATTATTTGCTGGCATCCAGATCATGTTCACGTCATACTGAGTAAATTCTGAGATTTTGTAGGCTACACCTAGTAATTTTTTAGAAATATAATATCATTATTATTAGTCAACCAATCTACAATTGTTTTGCATCACCAGCCAAATACCATCCCCAAGACAAAAGATAATAAACTGACTAGAAAAATTCGCTGCCTATATGTCATCTTTGTATCTAGATACATGCAAAACACTAGTTTGGATTCACTAGTTTTTCAAAAACTAGTTTTTCAAACATCTGTCGGTTCGTTTGGATTAGCTGTTTTTGGGGTTGTTTTTCAAAAACAGCAACTTATAATATATTTATATATTTATTTATAAATATAATATATAATAAATAAATATAATACACTTATTTATTTATATATAATATATAAATTTATTTATTTATAAATATATAAATATATTATTTATAAATATTTATAATTGTATTATAAATGCATAAATGTATATAAATATAAAAACATAAAAACATAAAAATTATAAATTATAATATACATTTATATAATATTCATTTATAATTTATACACATTTATAATAATATACATTTATATATTTATAAATATATTTATATTATGTATTATATATAATATAATACACTTATAATACATTTATATATTTATTTATATATATAATATATAATAAATAAATAAATATAATACACTTATTTATTTATATATAATATATAAATTTATTTATAAATATAATACACTTACTTATTTATAATAATATATAAATATATTTATTTATAAATATTTATAATTGTATTATAAATGCATAAATGTATATAAATATAAAAACATAAAAATTATAAATTATAAATTATAATATACATTTATAATTTATATATTTATAGTAATAAACATTTAAAAATTTAAAAATATATTTATATTATGTATTATATATAATATAATACATTTATATATAAATATATGAATATATTTATTTATAAAAGTATAAATATATTTATTTATAAATATTTATAAATGTATTATAAATGCATAAATGTATATAAATATAAAAATATAAAAATATAAAAATTATAATTTATAATTTATACATTTATATAATATTCATTTATAATTTATAATTTATACATTTATAAATATATTTATATTATGTATTATATATAATATAATACATTTATATATTTTTATATAAATATATTTATTTATAAATATTTATAAATGTATAATTGTATATTGTTATAAAAATTATAAATTATAAAAATACTCGAAAATATGTTTTAAAAATACATCTAAAAATAATCCATAAAACATCTACAGTAAAAGTTTTTTATATAATTTTTGAAAACAACCTCAAAAACAACTAATCCAAACGGACTTGTATTTGAAAAACGAAAGTTCTATACTTATCCTCGAGGATAGGAGCTCAAGATGTCTGAGCTGTGGGATGATGTTTCTCCTGTCCAGAATCATGATCACCAACTTCACCATAAAATCAGATGATTGCAACTTCAAACCCGAAACAGTTGAATCTGCTGGCGTTCAATCATGTTTTCCTAGTTTATGGCTACAAATCCAGTGAGTGTTATGCGTTCCCAGATTGGCATAGATTGCCAAATGCCAATGCAATCTTTTACTCAGTCTAAGACCATCTTTCAATCTTTCCCCGACTTCTTGACCATTTATGCGTCGCTTTAGCAACTGATGGTAGGAACCATCTTGGCTTTCTAGTAAATAACAGGCCTCCAATGCATAGCCCAGCAACCATGCCAACGCAATATCCACTGACTACTGATTCCCAAGGAAACAAGCCCAGAATGCCAAAATAATTGATTTGCGATGTTTCCGCCTTGGCAGGTGATTGTGCGGCCTCAACTTCTCCACAATCTTTCAATGGAAATCCACATAATGCTAAGTTCCCTTTGTATGAATCACTAGAGAATGTGTCGAATTGCTTACCTTGAGGAATGCGTCCGAGAAGATGATTTTGGGAGAGGTTGAAGAATGCAAGAGAGGTTAGTTTTGTAAGCTGCCATGGAATTTCCCCTAAAGTTGGTTCCAAGAAAGGTCCAGTGATTCAGTGCAGTCAACTCATCTAGTGTTTGCAGGAATGGAACCCTGCAACCCGTTGTGGGAAAAGTTGAGTAACCTGACTGATATGAGATTTCCTATGGACTTGGGAATCTCACTTGAAAACTTGTTCGAAGATAAATCAACCGCAGTGAAAAGCTTGAGGACTCTGACAAACTCAGTTTCCTTGCCCTTCATCACCAAAGTCACAGAATCTACGTAGTAAAATCGATTTCCTATGTATTCAAGTTCTTTTCTGCTATCAAGGCTGGTCATGGCTCTAAAGTTCTTCGGAAGGTCTGCCGGTAGGATGCCAGTGAACTCATTGTGAGATATGTCGAAGATTCGCAGCTTGGGAAATGGGAGTTTAGTCTTAGAAGTGGCTATAGGACCTTGAAATCTGTTGGATTTCAATATCAAAACATGTAGCTCTGGAAGAGTTTCAAGCCACACAGGGGATGCATCGCAAATCTTGTTATTGCCAACATCAAGAACTTGCAAGTTTTTGCAATTGATCAAAGATCGTGGCAGTGGCCCTTCCAATTGATTTCCGTTCAGGTTAAGAATCCTCAACTGATTATCATGTTTGAATGTTGTTGGAATCATCCCGCGGAAGCTAATCTTTTGCAGGTCCAACACCTTGAGTCGATTGCTAAAACTTCCCAAGCATTGAGGAATGGTACCATTCAATTTGTTTTCAGCCAACAGAAGATACTTCAGGTTTTCGGAATCGCAGATGGAAGGAGGCAATGGTCCTTCAAGCATGTTATGCCTAAGATCAAGAAAAGTCAGACTCTTCCAAGAGAGACTGACTGGAAATTCCAGAGCAAGTAAAGCGGTAGGCAGAGCCACAAGAGCCACTCCGTTGTGTCTTGGATGATTTTGATTTGCTATTTCTGCATTTACTGCTGCTACAATGATTATGCAGTAGTGCCTGGTTCCAACGAAAGGATGAACCAAATGAATCAAACATCAAATTAACGTTCGCATGCTTGCCCATCAGATGAAAGAGCAAGACAAGCGATGCATAAAGAATTCCAAAGCGTTTCCATTTACAAATGCTTCTAAGGGAAGGGACAAAAAAATGCAACAAGATTGAAGTATATTCTGCAAGTTAGGGTGTGTAGGTGACAATAATTAACGAGAAAGATGTTACCAGAAAGTACAAAATCAGACGTGGAAAGCATGTTCATGTGAACTATACTGAAACCCATGCAAATTATCCACCCAGAATGGGGCCTAGTGCTATTAGTTAGTCAAATTTGGTCTTAAACTAAGCTACATTTTAAAGATACCTTGATTCCTCACTTACCCCAATCAATACAGATCTTCGTTATTTATCATACAGACTTCTACAAGCGTTCAAATTATTTATTCCCCACAGGGTAGTGAACTTTGATCCACGGCCTCTTTAAGATTTTACTAATTCCTAGTTGCCCATGCAAACAGTGACTAGCTTTAGTAATGGCCATAGTCTCTTGATTGTACATGTTTTTTAATTGCAATTGAACAAGGACATAATGCAGAATTCTTCTGTGAACTCCTACTCACTTTTCTTCTCAAAACCATCAATTTGCAGAGGAGTTTCCTCCCCAGTGCGTTGAATTAAAACAGGCAAAAGAACCAGGATTTATTATTTATTCCTTGGTTTGATGTTATTTCGTCGACCAAGCAGCCATAAAGCGTTGAAGAGCAGCCAAGTTGTCTGAGCTTGCATGTCAATCTGCAAGGCTGCCTGAGCACTGTACCTCTGCAGCACCACATTGAGGTCACCGTATACCTCCTGTAAATAAATCTTTCCTTTCCCTTTTGCAGTAAATTTCTCTGATTCTCTTCCTCACTCGTGCTAGCATAAACCTTTTGGTTTGGTTGGCTCGTTTTCCTTCAAATTCTGCATATATATGGCGACTTCTTTAAATCTTTTTGTGCTATTTATCTACTTCTCTGCATTAGTCTACGTTCTTTCTGCTCTGGGCACTGATGGGACAGTCCTATTATCCCTCTCAAAACGTTGGACCGTTATTCCTCCTCCTATAAAATCTAGTTGGAATGCATCGGATCCCAATCCGTGCTCATGGATCGGCATTAAATGTGGTAACAATAGTCGCCATGCGGTCTCTCTGAATCTTTCCAGCTCTGGAATTTCAGGTCAGTTAGGACCCAACATTTGTTCACTGAGGCACTTAGAAGTAATTGATATCTCCTTGAACAGCTTTTTCCGCACAATCCCTTCAGAACTTGGCAACTCTAGGCTTCTGGAATTCTTGGACCTGTCCTTGAACAGCTTCACCGGAATCATACCATTCAGTCTCGGAAACTTGAAGACTTTACAATTCTTAAACTTGTATGGCAACTTTCTAAATGGTTAAATTCCAGAATCCCTTTGTTCCCTTCCATCTATAGGATCCATTTACTTGAACAACAATAAGCTTAGTGGCACCATATCTTCAAATGTGCAAAACATGAGCAAGATTGTCAATTTCTGGTTACACGGGAGCGAATTATCCGGGACCATTCCATCTTCCATAGGAAACTGTAGTACCTTGCAAGAAATTTACTTGAGCGACAACCATCTAGTTGGAACTTTGCCAGAAAGCCTGAACAATCTTGCGCACCTTACATACTTAGACGTCAGTAACAACACTTTAGTAGGCAAAATTCTTTTGGGTTCCGGAAACTGCAAAGAAATGAACTCGTTGGTTTTGTCTGACAACAGATTTAGCGCAAGTATTCCACCAGGTTTGGGAAATTACAGTAGCCTAACAGAACTTGCTGCTGTCAACTCTGGCTTAACTGGACCTGTTCCTTCTTCTTTCGTCAGCTAACCAAGTTGATAAATCTTTTTCTGGCTGAGAATTCCTTATCTGGGGAAATTCCACCTGAATTGGGAAATTGCAAGCTTTTGGAAATGCTGCATCTACAGGACGACAGATTGAAGGGTGAGATTCCACGAGAGCTAGGGATGCTTAGTGAGTTGTAATCCCTTGATCTTAGTGCGAACCTGTTGTCTGGTGAGATTCCAAGTGAGCTGGGAATGCTTGATAAATTGCAGAGACTTTCTCTGTCCTTCAACTTCTTGTCTGGTCAAATTCCTAATGGTATTCAGGAGATTGAACAACTACAAAAAAAAAAAAAATGCATAGAGGGAGCTGCTCTGGGAGATTGCTTAGCATGAATTCTTGAGGAGTAATATCCTTGCTTGCAAGAACGTATGTAGGATTTGATTATTCTTCCTAATGTTAGATTTTTTTTTTTTTAATTTCTGGGTATCTCCCGGTATTATTGTCGTCTGTTTTATGTTAGATAAAGATGTAAATTCATTATGGTACTTTCTTTTTTCTTTTGGTTGCAGAGTAAAACTGAAACTTTAGGGCCTCAACAATTTCTATACTAAACAGTTGGGGTCATATACACATCACTTGACTAAATAATTTACACACAAATAGGAATTTACATTTCGAGAACTATATAAAATTAACCAGTGTCAACTGCAAGTCCATATTCAAATAATAAATATTTTGACCTCCAACCATTTTCAAAAGGCCATTTATCAAGCATTGAGGCCTTTATCCACAACTTTATGGTGATATGTTCGATTTCATTTGCATGGGATGGCATCTATATAAAAAATACTACAATTTTAGGCAAATTGCTGCAATACAAAGAAATAGATATATCAACCATTAGAGTTGGTGCAGTGGTTAGAAAAGGACTCTTAGAACCTTCGTCACTTTTAACTGCAAAAAATTTACTCTACGGCTTTCATGTTTAACTACAACAATTCACACAGCCAGATGCCTTATAGTTATAACTCCCCAAAAGAGAAAAAAAGAAAAAAAGAAAAAAGAGGTCGTTATATGCAAGGCAATCTTTCATCGGAACAGGAGTATTTCTGCGTTGTCTCGTGTCAATTAATTTCTTGTTGGACTAAGGCAGCGGTGTCCAAATTTGACCGCTTTTAACGCTTGCAATTGCAGATAGAACAAGGCATTTGATGGTCCCTCTATGGTCGAGAGAAACATTTCCAAGAAAAATTGAGAGGGCTTTAAATCTGTTGGTTCCTATTCAAAGTCAGTTTCACAGCTAGTGGAACGCCCAAATCATTTTGGAGCCTTAAAAGTCTTGTGGGTCTTAAAAATGTATGTTTCTTTCTCTCTTCCAAGCTTTGAATGTGCGTTTCACATGGCCCTAAAGAGAAGATTGTGTTGTGCCCCATCGATCAGTAAAGTGGTATATATTTCCAACTCGAAGTCAAGATCATGACTTTTGTAAACGTTTTAATGTGGTAAAAGCAACCACGTTTTGCAGAGGGCTTTGAAAAAGATGCTGTTAGCCTCTGGGTTCGAGTTTTTGCATGTTAAAAATACAAGAAGTTTACTCAAACATAATTACTGCTACCCCTCCCACCTTTTGTCCAAAGAAAGAGGATGGTCTTTAGCTTGATTACAAGTCTTGTTTTAGTTTGTTAAAGAATACGGTAGAATTTTTTTAATTTGTGTTTATAAATGAGGTAAGTGATATGATGTATAATAATGTACATGATATGTATACATATATAAATTTAAAGTAGTTTCTAAGATTAAAAAAATAAAAAATTAAATTTTAAAAAAACGTATTTGCAATGAAAGCAACGAGATTTTTCAAAATCATAACATATCCAATTACACTCAGTCGTCCATCATCATTAGATGAATCTTAGACTAAATGAAAAAGAAGGCGACAATTAACTCATTTATTTCAACGACAGCCAGAAATCACAAGTAAAATAATCCGATGAAGAAACTAAAGTACAGTTCTTAAAGCACAATATTGCAAGTATAAACATGCATATGAACGATCAAACTAATACAATATAACGTTGAGCTAATTAATCAATTTTTTACGCTATCGGAGGGCTTCTTTTCTTGGTCTTTTCGACCGTTTACTCGTATCTTGAGCCATAGGAACGTACAGATCTCTTCTTGGCCTTTTCAATCGTTTGCATGCATCTTCAACCATAGCAACGAACAATCTTGGGGTTCGAGTAGAGAACATTAGGAATCCAACGGCCGCTCCAAGGATCATTCCAAAACAATATCCCAAGAGCACTGGTTTCCACGTAAATCCACTCGTAAGATCTAACAAATCTGTGGGATGAGATACCCGCATTGGAGATGACTGGGGTCCCTTATCTTCTCCACAATCGTTAAGTGGGAAACCACATAATCCGGGGTTCCCAGTATATGAGGAATTAGGAAAGGTATAAAACTGCCCACCTTGAGGAATTAGTCCCTCGAGATGATTCTTGGAAACGTTCAAGTCTGAAAGAAAGTTCAGCCTTTTTAGTTCTGGGGGGATCCTTCCCTCCAGTTGGTTAAAAGAAAGGTCTAACGATTCAAGTGCAGACACGTCCCCCAATGAGGTTGGAATCAAACCATTGAAGTTGTTGTGGGAAAAGTTGAGTAACCTGAGAGAATCGAGACCTCCAATGGACTTTGGAATGTTTCCTTCGAATTGGTTTCTAGACAAATCAATGGTTGTGAAAACTGTGAGGATCCGCTTTACTTCGTATTCTAGCCCTTTCATGATTACAGTCACGGAATCTAAATAGTATGTACCGTCTCCCATGTATTGACGTTGTGTCGTTTCGCTGTCATTCTTCTTCATAGCCTGAAAATTTTCAAGCATCTTGGCCGGTACATAGCCGGTGAACTGATTGTAAGATATGTCCAAGATCTTGAGCTTCTGGAATGATGATTTATTCGATGAATTTCCAATTGGACCTTGCAATCTATTCGATTTCAAAATCAGAACACGTAGCTCTGGAAGAGTTCCGAGCCAGTCAGGGAATGGACCAGTTATATGGTTATGTCCAACGTCGAGAACTTCCAAGCTCTTGCAGTTGATCAAAGATCGTGGCAGGGGCCCTTCTAGTTGATTGCCGTTGAGACCAAGATTCCTGAGCTGATTGCCCTCTGGAAACGTTGTTGGAATCATCCCATGAAAGCCGTTTCTCCGCAAGTCCAACACCGTGAGCTGTGTGCTGATGTTCCCGAAACAGTGAGGTATTGTTCCGGTCAGTTTGTTGTCAGACAGGAGAAGATATTGCAGCTTTTCTAACTTGCAGAGAGAAGCAGGTAATGGTCCCTCCAGTAAGTTGGAACCCAGATCAAGAAATGTTAGACTCTTCCAAGAATAACTGAATGGGCACTGCAAGAACAGGCAAATGAGTAGGCAGAGGCATAAGCTTCGATCCATCTTTTTTTTTCTTTTGGTTGATTATAATGAGCTAATTGGTGCTGAGAAATGCACTGCCCTCTGCCAATTACCACTCCTATTTGGTTTCTGGCATCACCATTTGCTCTGATGACTAGAAATAAAAGATAGAAGGGGGCAGCAAAAAGGAGTACCAATCAAGGTGAAACAACAACAGCAGTTTCACAGAGTCATTAACAACCGAGTGATTCCACACAAACACGCCTAACTCGAGGATTGGTTCGTGGAAAAGTCTATGCTTCCACTCAAGGAATCAAGGTCACACTGAGATGAGATTGAAGGTAACTAGGCTAGTCGGTACTCCATTGGCTCTAATCAAACCGTTGGATTGAAAGGCTTTTTTTTCACATGTTCATTTATCCAATTTAATTGATAGTGACTACGGCTGAGGCACCAGAAATTAGAAGTGGTGGATTCAAATTCCCCTCTCCTCTTCCCCACTTCTTAAATAGGTAGTCGAAATGCTATATATATATGTATATGTAAGTATGTAAGTATGTATGTATATCTTCCCCTTTAAAGATTTGGACTCTCCATTTGTTTATCCACTTATCTAAACTAGTTAGATATGTGTAGTGAAGTGGATTTATCTATCTTTTGCAACTATGGTCCTAATGGTTTGATGGAAGCCAAATGAGTACATTTACTGAGACTTTTGTGGACTGAATAAAAACCATTCATTTACAATCCAAATCCCAAATCCTCCACGTGGAAAGACTCAAATTCAATTTTCGAGTCTACAATTGATGGTTGGACTGTGTTACCAGTTACGCAGAAGCTATGCGTAAACTATAAACGCGCTTCTAAGTGTATAGTTGTCAGGGTCATGAAGTAAATAAAAAAGATAAAGATGAGAATAATTCTATTGACAATGAAGATTTTTTTCCCCTTCTCTTTTCTGGAGGACCAAGTAGGAAGCTTGAAACTAGAAATGAATACGCAAGAATTAATTGGTGGGAGAAATAAAAGCATAGGATCTTGACCACTGACAATAGTGAATTCTCGACAAATGCTTCTTAAAACCATTTCCGGGAAAAAAAAAACCCTTTTGACAAGAGCAATGCTTCTTCTATAGCATTTTGAAAAAGACCAAAAGAATAACTAATTTCCATTTACATATCGAAAAAAACTTTCCACCGCATAATTACACAATAGAGCTGCAAAATGGCCCTAAAATTATATTGCCAAGAGATACTGGAATTCGAAATCATATGGTATAGTATCTGTAATAGTGGAGGCCGTTCCCACAGGAGTACCCCCTAAGGAATCAACCATGGATTTTCAGAGCGACCCAGATATAGGCAACTGGTGGCAAACCCACTCAATCAATGACTCCACATCTTGGGCAAAATCATGCATGTGACGAAGCAGATGCTTTGGGATCGCAATTCTTTTTACAATTATTAAAGCTTGAAGAAACTCTAACTTAGACTTTTCTAACTCAGCCATCACCCCCTCACTGTATATGTCTTTACCTGTGAAAGAAAAGATAATGCAACTAACTACTAGCCATTGGGTTTTTCAAAATATGTTAGCCTTCACTGTGCAATTTTTTTGTTAGTTCTTTAGATGTTTCTTCAGATCTATTGTATCAATTAATGACTGATATAATTTCTGTTGTTAGTACGAACTTAATGGAGTCCGTAGCTTGCAGTTGCAGCTATAGAACAAGGCACTTGATGGTCCCTCAAGCAAGGAACACCTATGGTCAAGAGTAACTTTTTCAAGAAAAATTGAGAGGCCATCGACAGATTGAGGGAAATTAAACCAAACTATTTTAGTATTTAGTTTCCTAATTCTTAAATCTATAGAACTTCCATATTAATTTAGAAATTCTTAAATCTATTCCAAATAAGTTTCAGTTTATAATTGTGTTTATTTAGGAAATTTAGCAATCTATAAATACTATTCTGTTTGGATTATAAATTATTTGAGATATTTTTACTGTAGCACTTTTTGTGATGTGATGTATGTGAGATAAAAAGGTAATTGGGAAGGTAAAAAGGTGTATTGAAAATTGTAATGATGATGTAAGCAAATATATTTGACTAAATAAATTGCTGTCCAAACAATAGTGTTTTATTGTTTCCTTGAAGAAAGAGTTGAGAAAGTATGGTTTTGAAGAGTTAACTTGAATCGAGTTTTGAGAGTGGGTTTGAGAGAAAATCTCATAGTTGAGATTTATAAGTTGTCTTGAGTGAAAAGTTAGACTTGATATTTGGTATTGTTGGGTTTTGAATTAGAAAATTATTGAGTATTTGTTTACCTCCTTTTTTCACATATTTCCATATGTGTTAAGATTGCTTTTCATTGTGTGTGTACTTTTTTTGTACCAATAAGTGGTATCAAAATTCTAAACTTTGATTTTGGGGCTTGAGGCTTGTTTGTGAAGTTGAAATTTGGATCCATATTATTTACCACATTGTGACGTTTTTATCTTTGATGGTAAAAATGATTTTGATATTTGGAGTATAATGATAAAGACTTTTTTTTCAATCTATTGGAGTTTGGAATATTGTCCAAAAAGGGTTTGCGAAACCTATAGCAAACTCGGAATTATCAAGCGATGTAGTTAAAGAGTTATAGAAAAATAAATAGTTATATTGTAAGCCATTCTACTATCTCAGCACTTCATACATGCAAAGACGATAAAGAAGGCTTGAAAATTTCTGATAAAGTCTTATTGTAGTCATGGTGGAGAAGAAATTTGTGACGAGAAAGAAGAAATAGAATTTTTTGATGAGATAAAGAAAAAAAGAAATTGTAAAATTATGAGTGCACATGAATATGAAAAATTTGTAATTTAAAAAGAAATTGCGCAAGTGGTTGAGAAAGAAAGCGAAATTATGTAACTGAAGATCGTAACGATGCAGGAATTTTTTATTTTATTGAGGTTGATGAATTTTTTGAAAAAAAGAATCAAGTGATAGAGTTGATTGAAATCAATTGTGGAGTTGACAAATTAATTGAAAATTGTGGTACTGCTAAAGTTGATCCAATTATTAGTATGAAAAAATTAAAGAAAAACATGGTGATGTTGAAAATATGGGTAGTGGGAATTATGATTTTCTGGTATTCAGAGCTTTTCTTAGAGACATAAATAAATAAAATTATGGAGTATGCGAAGAAGAATTGGTAAATATGTTTGACTTTTTTGACAAAAGTGATTAAGCCAAGAAATTGTTCGAGAATTATACATTTCGTCCATTGCCATGTGTGACGATAAAATTAAAAATAATCATAAATTGGGGTTGAATGTTGTGTTTACTACGATTGAATTTTTCATGGAGATTAAAACTCGAGATGGCATTGAAGCTGATTACAATGGCAAGTAGGGGTGGTAATTTCCGACACGACTTGAAAACACGACGCGAAGCTAACACGAAATTAATGGGTTTGGGTTGAGATTTCGTGGGTTTGGGTCAGAATCGGGTCGAATCCGATGGACCCAAAAAGAAAATGGGTCGAATTCGGGTCAACCCATGGGTGACCTGATATGACCCGATAACCCGTTTACAAATTAAAAATAATTTAATAAATATAAAATTATTTTATCTAACTAAACTAAGTTATTCTTTTTTTCCAAAGGCATTAATCACTTAATCTTAAATGAATTTATTTAACTTGTGTGAAGTTGAAATTATTATATTTGGACAAATAATGTATTATATTATTTTTTACTTTTATACTGTTTTAATTTATTTTATATTTGGTTTGGGATAAAACACTTTTACGGTGTTTTAATTTATTTTAGATTTGGTTTGGGATTATTTATTTAAATTTTATTACTTGATTATGTAGTTAGTCTTGTACGAAATTGGTTTTATTAGAAACTACAGTGATAAATTAATAAATTAAAATTAAGTTTCGGGTCATTTCGGGTCGACCCGCCAACCCGAAATTTTCGGGTTCGGGTCAGGTATCCTGACCCGTTTCAGGCTGGCGGGTCAGGTTCAGGTCAGCGGATTTTCTGTTATACCTGGGTCTCAATCTGATCCGTCAACTCGAAACAGACCCGATTGCCACCCCTAAGGCGAGTTTGGTTTACAGTAAGCAATGAAGGAAATTAAAGCAAATTATTTTAGTATTTAGTTTCCTAATTCTTCTAGTTTCTTGTTTTGGTGGCATATTTGTTTAGTTTCCATATTAGTTTAAGAAATCTTAAATCTATTCCAAATAAGTTTTAGTTTATAATTGTGTTTGTTTCGAAAGTTTAGCAATCTATAAATACAACTAGTGTTTTATTGTTTTCTTGAAGAAAGAGTTAAGAAGTTATAGGTTTGAAGAGTTGATGAGTTGAGTCAGTCTTGAAAGTGGATTTGAGAGAAAATCTCATAGTCAAAATTTATGATTTGTCGTAAATGAAAGATTACGAGTTGATATTTGTTACAATTGGATTTTAGGTTAGTAAATTATTGATTATTTATTTGTGTATTTATTCTCTTTCTCTTCCCACATATTTTCATATATGTTAAGATTGCTTTCATTGTGCGTGTATTTTTTTTTTTTTTTTTTTTTGCGCCAACACAGATCGAGCAGGTTTTTGACTGCATAAACGAAAATGCTGAAAGAAGAATGAGACGCATCTCATAATTATTGGAGTCAATTATGAAATTGAAACCCTCATCCAGAAAAGGAGAGAAAGAGTTAGAAAAGAGGAAATGAAGGGTAAGAATTTAACAAAAAGTGCTGTAGCTTTAAATCTGTTGGTAGCACATACAGCCAGATCGTATTTAAAGTCTGATTCATTCCTAGCGGTACGTCAATTAAATCATTTTCTAACCTAAAACTTCTTGTGGGTCTTAAAATTCGTGTTTCTTCCTGTCTTCCAAGCTTTGAATGTGAGTTTACATGACCCTAAAGAAAAGATTTTACCCCATCAGTGAAGCATATATCTCCAACTTGAAATCGAAACAATAATGACTTCCGGAAACATTTCAACGTGGTCAAAAGCAACCACGCAGCCCAGCACAGGACTTTGAAAAGGGTGCTGCTAGCCTCCGGCCGGGTTCGAGTTTTCTGTATGCTAAACCTGTGGTGGTGAAAAACGGGAAAGCAGCTGTCATTGAACAATTCAAGAAGTTTAATCCTTAGGAATAAAACATATCAGCCAAGACCATTCATGAACGTGTCAAGCTCGCAAAACACTTTGAATAAGCATTCATCTGAAAGAAGAATATAGATTTGGTTTGTTAAACAAAAAGTTGACTTGGGTCAACTCCTGCCCATAGGCATGAGTGCATGAAAATGCGAGAGAACATATTCCATTAGGCCCTCCCACCTTTTTGTCCAAAGAAAGAGGATACTCTTTAGCTTAACCACAAGACGCAGTTTCAGGGTCTGTTCGGCACTCATGTTTTAGAGATGTTTTAAAAAGGCAAAAATTTGATAAAACACCATTTATAGTAACACTTTAAAATATTTATGAGTTTTTTTAAAAATAATTAAAAGAATTAAATTAGGTATGGGTGACGAATGTGGATAGCAATGGAGGAAGGGCTGGAGGAGGAAGGGCTGATCCGTTTGAATTAAATGTTTTTGGGGGTATTTTTAAAATATTTTACTGTAATAATGTAACTGAAATTTTTTTTTAATGTAGATAAGGTTGTTTTTGGTGTTTTTGAGGTTTTCTTTATATATATATATATATATATATATATATATATATATATATATATATATATTTGATGTTTTTGAGGTTGCTTTTTGTTTGTGTATTACTGTAATATTGTATATGAAAATTTTATTTTTTAATCAATCCAAACGGAGGTGTTTTGGATATATTTACAATAAAGTTTTAGATAAATACCTTAGAAACTTAACATTGAAATAGAAAGTTTGTTAATAAGCACGGTAGAATTTTTCTGTTTTGTTATATACTTTTATACGTGGTGTGATTATGTAAAATGAAAACTACCTCCTATTGCGGAAAGAAAGAGAATACTCTATAACTTGATTACAAGTCTTGTTTTAGTTAATTAAAGATCACAATAGAATTTTTTTTTATATATGTGAAATAAAAAGATAGTTAAAATATTTCTATAAGTGTACACGATATGTGAAATAAAAAAGTAGTTAAAATTATTCAAAAGATAAAAAAAATAAAATTAAAACACATCTTTCTAATGAAAGCAACGAGATTTTTCAAAATCATAACATATCCAATTACACTCAGTCGTCCATCATCATTAAATGAATCTTAGACTAAACGAAAAAGAAGGCAACAATTAACTCCTTTGAAATCATTAGAGAGCAACGAAGAATACTCCGATGAAGAAACTAAAGTACAGTTCTTAAAGCACAATATTGCAAGTAAACATACATATGAACGATCAAACTAATACAGTACCATTCAGCTAGTCGATCCATTTTTTCACGTCATCTGAGGTCTTTTCGATCGTTTACTCAAACCTTGAGCCAAAGGGACGTACAGAACTCTTCTTGGCCTTTTCGATCGTTTGCATACATCTTCAACCATAGCAACGAACAATCTTGGGGTTCGAGTAGAGAACATTAGGAATCCAATGGCCACTCCAAGGATCATTCCAAAACAATATCCTAAGACCACTGATTTCCATGTAAATCCACTCGTAAGATCTAACAAATCTCCGTGATGAGATACCCGCCAGGGAGATGGTTGCGGTCCATCAACTTCTCCACAATCTTTAAGCGGAAAATCACACAATCCGGGGTTCCCAGTAAATGAAGAATTAGGAAAGGTATTGAAGTGCCCACCTGAAGGAATTGGTCCCACCAGATGATTCTCGGAAAGGTTCAAGGCTTCAAGAAAATGCAGATTGCAAAGCTCAGGGGGAATCCTTCCCACGAGTTGGTTATAAGAAAGGTCTAGTGATTCAAGTTCAGACAAGTCCCCCAGTGTTTGTGGAATCAAACCATTGAAGTTATTGTGGGACAAGTTGAATACCACGAGAGAATTGAGATCCCCAATGGATTTCGGAATGTTTCCTTCGAATTGGTTTCCAGACAAATCGATGGTTGTGAAAACCGTGAGGACCCGCTTAATTTCGTACTCTAGCCCTTTCATGATTACCGTCACTGAATCTAGATAGTATGAGCCATCTCCCATGTATTGATTTTGTGTTTCACTATCATTCCTCTTCATAGCAGGAAAGTTTTCGATCATTTCTTTCGGTAGGTATCCAGTGAACTGATTATAAGATAAGTCCAAGATCCTGAGCTTCTGGAATGATGATTTATTAGATGAAGCTCCAATTGGACCGTGAAATTTGTTCGATTTCAATATCAGAACACGTAGCTCTGGGAGAGTTTCGAGCCAGTCAGGGAATCTACCGGTTATGCTGTTTTCTCCAACGTCGAGAACTTCCAAGCTCTTGCAGTTGATCAAAGATCGTGGTAGGGGCCCTTCTAGTTTATTGCCGTAGAGACCAAGATTCCTGAGCTGATTGCGCTCTGGAAACGTTGTTGGAATCATCCCATGAAAGCCGTTTCTCCGCAAGTCCAACACCGTGAGCTGTCGGCTGATGTTCCCGAAACAGTGAGGTATTGTTCCGGTCAGTTTGTTGTGAGACAGGAGAAGATATTGCAGCTTTTCTAACTTGCAGAGAGAAGCAGGTAATGGTCCCTCCAGTAAGTTGGAACCAAGATCAAGAAATGTCAGACTCTTCCAAGAATAACTGAATGGGCACTGCAAGAACAGGCAAATCAGTAGGCAGAGGCATAAGCTTCGATCCATCTTTTTTTTCTTTTGGTTGATTATAATGAGCTAATTGTTGCTGAGAAATGCACTGCCCTCTGCTAATTACTACTCTTATTTGGTTTCTGGCATCACCATTTGCTCTGATGACCAGAAATAAAAGATAGAAAGGGGACAGCAAAAAGGAGTACCAATCAATGTGAATCAACAACAGCAGTTTCACAAAGTCATTAACAACCGAGTGACTGACTTGAGTCAATTTCCACACAAACACGCCTAACTTCAGGATTGGTTCGTGGAAAAGTCTTTGCTTCCACCCAAGGAATCAAGGTCATATTGAGATGAGATTGAAGGTAACTAGGCCAATTGGTATTCCATTAACATTAATCAAACCGTTGGATTGAATGGCTATTTTTTCACATGTTCATTTACCCAATTTAACTGATAGTGGCTCCAAAAATTAGAAGTTGTAGTTTCGAATTCCCCTTCTCTCTTCTCTCATCTTAAATGGGTAGTTAAGATATTTTCTTTTTTGTTGGACTCTCAAACTTTCTTCTTTCTTTCTTCCTCTTTTAGGATTTGGACTCTCCATTTGTTTATCCACTCATCCAAACTAGTTAGCTATGTAAGTGAAGTGGATTTATACATCTTTTGCAACTATGGTCCTAATGGTTTGATGGAAGCCAAATGAGTACATTAACTGCAACTTTTGTGGACTGAATAAAAACATTTATTTACAATCCTAATCCCAAATCCTCCGTGTGGAAAGTCTAAAATTCGATTTCCAAGTCTACAATTGAGGGTCACTTGCGTTGGGCTGAAGCCATATGTAAACTATAAACGACCTTCTAAGTATATTGTTGTCAGAGTCATAAAATAAATAAAATGATAAAGCTGAGAATGCTTCCATTGATAATTTCTTGTCTGAAGGAGCAAGTAGGAAGCTTGAAATTTGAAATAAGAAATTAAAACGCAAGAATTAATGGGTAGGAGAACTAAAGCATAGGATCTTGACCACTGATAATAGTTAATTCTCCACAAATTCTTCTTATAACCCTTTCCCCCCGTTTGAGTTTTGACAGGAGCAATGCTTCTTCTGTAGCATTTTAATAAAGACCAAACGAATGACTAGTAACCATTTACATCTCCCAAGAAACTTTCCACCAGGTAATTACACAATAGCGCTGCAAGATGGCCCTAAATTCATATTGCCAAGAGATACTGGAATTCGAAATCATATGGTATCTTATCTATAATAGTGGAGGCCTTTCCCACAGGAATACCCCTAAAGCAATCGACCATGGATTTTCTGAGCGAACCAGATGTAGGCAACTGGTGGCAAACCCACTCAATCAATGACTCCACGTCCTGGGCAAAATCATGCATGTGACGAAGCAGATGCTCTGGAATCGCAATTCTTTTGGTGCCCGTTACAATTATTGAAGCTTGAAGATACTCTAGCTTAGACTTCTCTAACTCAGCCATCACCCCTTCAGCTGTATATATCTTTACCTGTGATGGAAAATATAATGCAACTAACTATCAGCCTTTTGGTTGGTTTTTCAAAATATGTTAGCCTTCACTGTGTAATATTTTTATTAACTCTCCAAATGTTTCTTCAGATCTCTATTGTATCAATGAATTACTGATGTAATTTCTATCGTTTGTGCAGATTTGATAACATTATGATGATCTATCAAAACAATGTGTACACCTTTAAAAAAGATTGAAATTGTCCAAGATAATCGAGTCCGTAATTTAATAGGAATTCTGGTGATAAATGTTTCGTACTAATTGATTACTTACAGCAGGAGAAGAACGTGTTCCACAGCACAAAGCAAAGGTGACATTTGGATCAGCCGGCTCGAGCCCGTAACGTTCTCGAACTTTAGATTCTAAATTGGTATTATCTTTTTTATCAGCCTGTCCTAGGACCTGAGAAATCCGGTATAGTATCGGGTATCAATTATTCTATCCTTGTTTTTCTTTTTTGAAAAAAAAACCCAAGAAAAGGATGATTATTTGTAAAAAAAAAAAAAAAGTAATATTTTTACCTCTTTTATAAGTGATGATTCTGGTTTTCTTAGAATAGATTGTTCAATTGTTCGAGCAGTTACCGTAGTACCTCCAATGCTCAATTTGGCCTGAAACAAACGAAATCGTATGATTGGAGGGGCTAGAATTTCATTACGCCATAACTCAATGACGAATATAACTATGACACATTACCTTGTTCAGCAGCGATAACAGTTTTTCAGGGCTAGAATTAGAGGGGACTCCGTATTGAAGAAATGCCTGGAATCACAGTTGAATATTGCACTAGCTTATGAGTTAGCGGCGAAAAGATAACGATGCTTAGCGAATAAAAAGAACATAAAGAAAAAGCCCAGTTCACAACTTTACATGCATGATGGAGGCATTGTACATGTTGATCCAGAAAGCCAGTTTCTGCTGGTAGTTCATATGTTTCAAGTCCACCTTTTGCAGATTGTTCATTAGCAACCTGCAGGAAGTCGAAAAAAGGATACTCACTTGGAAAATGGAAATCAATAACGATTGCATATATTAAGGCGCCATTGCTTGGAACTCATATTGTAAGCAAAGAAGATCTGATTGCAGCATTTGTCTGCTATACACCATTCATACTTGTACACTGATCAATTGCTTCTAATATTGTTTAGATGTAATTCATTTGTATCTGTTCCACCATCAAAAAAGGGGTTTTTTTTTAATGAGCATACGTTAATGCACATAAATTGAATCCAACTTATCGCGTATATATACATACTAGCAATTATTATTCTCGCTGATGTGTATACACTTTTCTTAATTAATTTTATCTTTTCAAAAATTTAGTACCTAAATTACATCTTAACAGGTGTCCATTAGACAAACCCTATCAAAACAAAATTGAAAAATTGAATTTGGAAAGAGTTTACTTTCTAGGATTCAAATCAGGCTGTAAAGGAATAGTAGAGTAAGATTCAATATCTGCATTGTTAGAGAACTTACTTTAACTTCTGAAACAAAGCAATGGAGCTTGAATTGGAGATGCATTTGGGATCGACGGAGTTTGCTGTGAACCTGACCAAATTCTTGTACGGTCCAACGTCCCTAGTAATGGACTCTTCCAAGTCAAAGATTCCATAGGGATCTTGCTGTCTTGAATCCTTCTGCAGCAGAAGGCTGGCCTTAGAATTTAAGCTGGGCTCAGCTCTGAAGCTTAAAGAAAAGTTTGTGGAGCGTGAAATTGGGCCTGATTTCTCTAACTCCATTGTTCTTGATGTCCGGAGCAGTCTGACAAATATGAAATGCAGGCATTTCACGATGTTCTCGGATAATTTGTTGGGTGCCCACTTGTTGATGCTCTCCTCTTCTGCGTCTTGCGGAGCAGATGGTATTTTGGATGGAGGATCCGAGGAGGTTTCCAAACGTCGATCCCTCTGAAACATGAGTTGTTTACAACATCAACTACAAATAGGCTGCAAAATAATAAGAGCCAAATATGCAAAATTCAATTCTTGAACTTCTAATGTTCTCTATTTTGCCTCAATTGATTACTGGAGGTTAATTTATTTTCCAACAAAATTACGAGTAATCAAATTTGTTTAAAAAAGAAAAATTTAAGGGAGTCAAGCTTCACCTCCAGCTTAGACTTAGAGTAATGCAATCTTTCAGGTTTTCTAGGAGGAATATTCCAATTCCCAACACCCACAAGAGAATTTTTAAACACTCTATCGCTTGGCCAATTGGGCTAAGCTACTTGAATTTAAAAAAGAGTTCTTGGTAATGTGACAAGTAGTATATGATAAATCTACTTTGACTTCCTGATTGAGAAAAAGATTACACCTTCGACATTGATTTGGCACAGATAAGTGTTAATGTAGTCTTTAAGATAAACATTATTTTTGTTACTCTCTAATGATCCAAGGTGGAATTCCACTAATCTAGTGAAGTTGATTAGTGTACAAGAAAGCCACAAACTTTGGTGAACGTTACCCTGGGGGTCGGTTGTCTTGGCTCGCGCATAGGCGATGCGGGAATCAGCATCCCACTCTTTTTACCACCCTTGTTCCGATGTGCATCAGATTGCTCTTGAAATTGATTTTCCTTTTGATCAGAAAGGATTCTTGAATTCAGTGCTTTGTCACTAATGCTGAAGTCATTGAGATTGTAATCACCTTTTATGGCCTTGCTAATGAAATGTAATGCCTTGGTTTCGAACGACACCTTCTCCTTCAACAACTCTTTGTTGCCCTCTTCTGGATGAGATGGGAAGTGATCAAGATCAGGATTCATGTTCTGGGATGGAGGAGGTTGTCTCAGCTGCTTGGATTTTGATTCTGCTGTAGCTTCCTTCTCGAGCTTCACCTCAGCTTGGAGCTGGCTGATTTGGCTTTCTAAACGAGTTATCTCGTTTTCAACCATTGCCAACTCTGCTAGCAGCTCCTTCATCTGCGCAATTGACGAGTGTAATTAAAGTTGAATCCGTCCATTAATTACCACAGCAGTTAACAAATAGAAAGCACATCAAATTAATCAAGTTCCAAAATCCCATCTGGGATCTATATATATATATCAAACTAAGAAGAAGAAAAAATTGATTTTCGGTCCAAACTCTGAACTCAACTCTGATTTGTTATTAATGTAGTGGATATAAATCAGGAAAATTAAGAACAACTGCTCTGAATAATTCTGCTCTTTCCAATTGACTTCTACATAGACTCGACCATGTTATCAGGAACTTTTATCTTGGAAAGTGGAACGTCTATTACCATTCATCAAATTCAAATGAAAATCAACTCTGAAACTTATAGTAATTTGTTTCACCTACATAACTGTTCGTTGTGATTTGCTTCGGTGACAAGCATATATATACAATAGCATCAGAATAGGAACATCGATCTTACATATGGATTTGGTTTCTATGAGATCACCTACACACCTAACACTAGTACGTGACATTGCACCATCTTACTCACCTTAGGAGGAAGAAAGTTTGGGATACCAAGACTACTACTTGACGTACCATCCTGTCGATGTTGCACTCGTCCCAGAAATTCATGCACCTTCTCTTCATGATCCAGCATTTTCCGGAGCACATCAACCTTATACAACATTGCTTCAGTTAATTTCCAAAATTAGCAGTTCAGTTTGCATAAACATCAACCCCCCCAAAAAAAAAAAAAAAAAAAGTATTAAAGCCAACAGGAAAATTTGCAAGAATATCTAACTTGAATGTGTAATAATTAATTTCTTTTAGACGAAGAATGACTTTTTCAATACGAACACTATAAGCTTTCCAAGTTCAAGAATTATGTGAACTGACGAAGAGTTACCCCAAAAAAAAAAAAAAACCAAATATTGGATGAAACAAGAAATATTTTGAGGAGGAAAGAATACTATTAATTAGGCCAAAAAATGTGGATATGTGAATCATAAATGACCAGGCTACAGAGTGATGGGCACCATTTTGAAAGAAGATGTAGGCCAGAGAAAGAAGCCATCACCTAGTATTGTACTAGAATCGTGTCGGAGTCGAAGCAACCATGCATGCGAATGGCACAACTCAGAAGACAAAAGAGAAAACGTACTTGGAATCGCACCCATACCTCTCTTTCAAGCTCCTCTTTCTTTAGCTGTCCGCTATGTTTCTTCTTTCTCTGAAACGGAAACAAAATTTCAAAGAAAAAAAAATCTAATTAGCAATTGTACATACAAAAAGAAATGGAATTACTATATTGTAGAGTACTAACTATCATCAACCATGAATAAAATCATCTTCAAGAATTTGAACAAGATGATTATTAATATAGCCTTACAAACCTGAGTTGGTAAATGAAGCTGTAAGTCGGCCTCGGTTGCCATGAATGCTAATGCTGAATTGCAACGGTACTTCTTCAACTCGCAGAAAGACCCGGAGAAAATGCTAAAACGAGGCCATAGAATCTTCAATGATCAAATTCTTGGTATTCCAACAAGAAGGATGGTCTCTAGGAGCCTTAGCCTTGAGCTTAAAGCAAGTTTTGCAAGTAGTTGGTAAGAATGTTGCGGTTGAGGATTGATTTGAATATGGGATTAAGGGAAGAGAGTGATCAGAAGATGGGAGGGAGCTTTCAGAAGCAGTTGTTGTTGTTTGATTGACTAACCGTCTGGATTTGTGGGATGGTCATTTTGTTGAGGCCTGAGGGAGAGTGGCGACGTGGGGGTGCGGTGGGCCGTGGGCGTTTACCTTTAGGCCGTGTGGGTTTGGCGTAGCTTGCACTTGCAGTATATTAGGAGTAGGGTGTTAGAAAAAAGACTGTTTGTTAGGGTGCTTTAGTAGTTACATGGAAGAAGTATTTCTTGTTTAAGACAACATAATTTCTTGGACAACAAAGCTGAATATGATGATCCATGATTGATGATTGATCAATGCATTCTTGGGTGAAGTAAAGCAGAGGAACACATATAGTACTACATGTTAACCGAGTCCTCAATTAACTTTGATTCCAACTGCCCTTTCCAGCCAAAAAAAAAAACCCACACACACACACACGCACAAATAAATTTTGACTTTAATTGTAGTTCGCTCTCTTGTTGTTCAGTAAAGTGCTTCATTTTCTAGGGGTGGAATTGGATTGGATAGTAAGGTGGAAAAGGTTATAAATGAGATGTCTTGATTTCAAGACCTTTCATTTACCCAAAAAAATAAAAATAAAATAGTTCCTCATTTTCATTTTCTTAAAACAATTAATTTACCACCTACAATGACCACACTAGACTTCAAACTATATCGACAAAATTTATAGAAAATTAGATAGGTGGATCTTTTAGCATATAGCATAAAAGAAAGGGGGAAAAGGGGAAAAAAAAAAGGACTAGAGATTATACGCTTCAACATGTACAAAAAAAAAAAGGGAAAGGTGAAACCAAGACCTTGGAAGATTTCTTTTGAGTTTTTGAAACAATTATGGTGGAGGATTTGGTGGGAAATTTGTAACCTTCCCTTTCCTGGCTAGCAGAACATGATACATTAAACCCCATAAACACTTGAACTCAAAAAAGAAAACTCAAACTCCTCAAATCTCATCAGGGAAGGTAGACAAGTTCTGTGGTATATTCCATCCAAACTGGACTAGTTGTTGACATCTGGGCAACTCTACATCCAGCCTCCTCCTCAGTCCTCCTTCACCTCCACGCAAGTTTACTCCAGAACAGGACTCCTCGCCCACTACTCCTAAAGAAAAAATCATAGAAATTTCACAGTAAGTGAGAGTCCACTTGGCACAATTTCTATTAAGTTTGTTGCCGTGCACTAATTTATTTTTTTATTTCCACAGGGTCGCACTCTGTAGCTTCTGTCCTTGCCAGATTTCATGGATACATATATAGGCAAGATAATCAAGGTATGAGCCCAGGCATACTCTCAAGACTGCTTATGCTTTTGTATTGCTTCAAAGTGCTTGCAGAATCAGTAGCATGACTGCACAATAACCAAGTTCTCTTATTTCTTGTGGTTAACTATATGTCATTTTAGTTGAGCGTACCTGATCTTTATGGCTGATTGCATAATCTCTTCCTCAAGCCTGCGTGCTTTCTTCCATTCGAGCAAAGCATAATTGCAGCTTGTCCAAGTCTCACCGAGCAGATTGTATATTTGCTGAAATAATTGTGGCTGAAGTATTTTCTTTCTCCTACTTTGATGTACTTGTTAACATGTTTTTAATATGTTATATAATTCAGCTGAAGGAAAAGATTGCATCTGCAACTTCAGCCAGTAAATTTGTTATCGGTAAAGGGGTGCGCAAACAAATCGCTGTGAGTATTCCTCTTAGGAGACTTCTCCTCTCCTACTGTAGTTCCTTAAATGCTTAGTACTCATAAGTTGCTTTGTTGTAGAGTAGCAAGCTAAAGCAAGTGAGAGAGAGAATGACGAAGGTGCGAGATCTTTTCCGGGATACAGAGACAACAGAGTTGTGAAAGTAACAATACCCACTGTGAGTTCAAAAACTTCTGCATTTTACATTGTGAATTTTAGTAGCAAAAGTAAGTCATCAATCTTACTTGTAGGGGAGAAAATTGTTCCAATGTCAAGAGTCGCTTCATCTTGTTTAGTTCAATGAATGGAGAACTTTGATGAAGACTCTTTTAAGTAAAAGCAGTCTTTTAGTCATTACAGCTGCATTTGTTGATCTTTTCATTTGCAGAAAATAGTAATCATAGAAATGTCATTGAATCTTATTTACTTTGGTAGAAATTGTCTTGGGTGGACCAGTAAGTAATTTAGTAATTTGTAGAATATTCTTATTTTTTTAAAATGTAACTCTTAATGGTATTTTTCTCTGATTTCCTTAACAAGGCAATGGCAGTTAGCGAGTCTTCGAGGTTGTGTGCATCCTTAAAGAAGGAAAAAGTTCCAGTACGAAGGCTTATTGTAAATCAAGTGTTACCTCCATCACTGTCAGACTGCAAGTTCTGTGCAATGAAAAGGAAGGTAATATGTGAATCTTTATCATCTTGCAACATCCAAAATGGAGTATCATCATTCATCTTGCACTATTAAATTACTGTCTTTTTTAGTCACATGAGCCTTAACATAGTAGATTTGATTGATGTTAAGTTTAATAGGATCAGCGATTCTAAATTGCAAGATGATTTAGAATCGCAAACCTGATTACTCTTAAGGGCCTTGCTCAACTTCCATAGAGATCAAAGTAGAAATCATGACAAGTCTGGGCATGTAGTATGCAAATGCACATTAGGGTGTGGATATGCTTCGTCTTAAAAGCGTAATCCAATTGCATTTTTCAGATTATGCATCTTGATTATCTTCCAGAATTTCTAAAATGATACTGCTTTTGAAAATTTCTTTGTTCAAGTGTTCCATTTAAACTTGAGGTGCCAGAAAATTTGGGAAGGCTCTAGCATGGCAATGGATTTATTGTGTGCTTTTCAATGTATAGTCCCAGTAAAACCTTGTATGACCTCACTTTTTGGTTCATACTGTTACAGTTCACTTGGATTTCAAGACTGGACAAGTTTTTTTATTTTCCCCAGGAAATCTGTGTAATGTTGGATTTATGCTATCAATGATTTGTCTTTTTGGTTCTTTTATTGGTTTGGGCATAGGCAGACCTATTCATTGTGAAAGGAGGGCAAACAAAGTAAAAGACTTGACAGATAGGTTGGGTTCTCTTTTGGGCTTTTGGTGACTAGAAAGTTAGATCCTACAAGAGGCAGCAACTGGTGTACCATATACCACAGTTGCTCGGCTGGTTGCATCGAACTTTACATGCAAAGCTATGAAATTTTAAAGAGTTCAAGCATTAACCAAGTCCATGCCAAACGTTGATGTCTTATATGTCAAGTATATCAACACATGCACAAAATGAATACCTCTGCAGAGAAAGAATCCTCTGGGTTCTCTCTTTTGTTTTCTTTAGCTTCTTATTTCATGTCCTATTGATACTTTCCAGGACCAGATGCATGCCTTTGATATGATTCATAAAGACCAGGAATTATCGAGTTTGAAAATGGTTGAAGCGCCTGTGTTCCAGCACTCAAGTTTATGGGGAATGTCATTTGGCGTTAAAGCTTCACTTTTGACTGTTCCGAACAAGATAGGTAACTATTTTGCTCAGACACACGTTTGCTCTTATCATGCAAAGATGCTCATTAATTCAAGTATTGGAAAAAGATAGTTGTGTGATAAATGGTTCTCATTCATCTGAAATAGAGAATGAAAAACTGAAGAGAATTTGGACTATTAAACTCCTGCAAAAAGATTTAAGTAGAAGTTTTATGGTAAAAAGCTTTCCTTGTCAAACAAAAGCAGTTAGAACATACCAAAAAAGGGGATATGGCAATAGTGTACTTTTCTTCTAGACTCTAATGTCTCACAGTGCCGTAGTTGTATAAATCTGTTTTCTATGGCTTTTGAAACACAGATTGCTGCCAAAAGAAAAAAGATATGTATCTCTGGAGTGAATCTTCATGCAAAATGGGCAACTTACTAAGTTTTTTCATGTTATGTTTCATCACTACTATTCTGTACGAGACATTAAATTGATGTGTTGTCATTGAGATGCAACTAAAATTATTTCGTACGAAACTTTTTATTGCTTCTATGTGACTGAATTTCTTTAGTTCCTGTTAAACTATCTCTTGTGAGTCAAGTATTACTGCATTAGGAGCTCTTTCAAAGTACGTTGAAGTTCCTTGTCACTAGACATTTCCCTTTCCTTGAGGTTAGTTGCCTTACAACGGGAACAATGAGCAATAATGGAGTTTTTCTGAACCCATTTGTCCAACTTGAAGGACAGTTAAATTTTTCTGTGTCTTTTGGAGGCTAATGCACTCTAATGGCTTCAATTTGAAGTAAGTATGGTGGAACGTTTTTTGCATTTGGTGAAGTTAAAGACTAACATTTCGCTGTAACACTCTTTTGTAGGAAATGAAAGATACCAGATTTCTGTAAGACCATTATTGACTACTCCTATTATCAACAGCTCAGTAAAACAGGGTAATGAAGATGGAGGAAACTATTCATTTGTTGCTGGTAGTAGTTGCTTAACTGCTGTAGAGTTTGGTAAACACGGTTTTTTGGATCTCAATATTTGTATGCTTTTAACCAGCACTCTTTCCTCAATTGCATCAGTTGTCGGGAAATCTCCCTGGACAGAATGCATGAATTGAAATGGAGTTCAAATAGTAGAAGGATTTGAGTCTAGATGCAGAGGCAAACAACACTGCAGTGTCGCCTGAGCTTATGTAACACACCTAAGAAGGGATGGAATGTATTGACTGGAAAAGTGCTTGGGGTTTGAGAAAATGTTACTGGATAGTGAACAGCTATAACGTTTCAAACCAACAGGAAGGAGGAAAAACAGGTAACAGAAAATGAACAGCGCATGGGAATGGCAAATCTTAATTGAAATATTCCCTGCCACTCTCATTTCTAAACTTAATACAACATGGAAGATCTTAATTATCCTCATGTTCAGAAACAACTCTCTTCTTACATCTGTCTGTAATTTCCCTATAAACAAGCCTCATGCCATTTACCCCAATAAAGGAAAGCTACAAGGATACATATGTACATTTATCATGTCAAGCAGCAAGATCATGGTGCTAAGCTATGTGTTGGTACATTGTTCTCCCTGTATTTGCAGCCCATTGTAATACTCTTACCGCCTTTTTAAACAGTAGTAGAGAGGTTTGACAAAATATATTTCCACACACTGCATATTATCAGGGCTCAAATACAACATGCAAGAATTACACCGTTCCTTTCTTGAACTTGCATTAGCATTCCAACCCAGACTCGACTTTTGCAGTGAATAAGCAAACCATTTGGTTTTACCGCTTCATTACATTTGCTGGACAGGTTCATGCAAGCACAGTTATAGATAGGAGAACGGACCATGCAAGCATAGTTATAGATAGGAGAACGGAGAAGGTCGCATGCTTGATTCTTTTCCATGACTTTTGAAGATTCTAGAGGACCTGCAACGCCTTGTGCCATTTTTCCAGAACGTGAAATGAATGAAGTTATTGCAGGTCTTTCACGAACATAGCACGGGAAGGGCATCTCTAGATTGATTTATTTTTTCTGGAAGGTGACTAAACAGAAGAATGCTAAACCACGACTGAGTATACCAGTGACCAACAGGTATGCTAAACAGGGATACCAGTCTCCAAGATGATACCCTCTCTGTTGTAACGCACCACATCTCGTAATCAGCCACACTCCTGAGTACCTGACAATCAAAGAAATAAGATCAGATAAATGAGCAGAGTATTCAGCCAGTAGATTAGACATTGATCAACTATCTCAACATTTTGTTGAGGTATATTCACTATAAGGTGCGAAGGATAACTTTTTAACTCTCTTTTGTTTTCCTCATTAGTTATCTACTGCATGCATGCTAGTAACCAGGACTGATTTGACACATACGAGTTAGTAATTTGTACTGTCTTCTGAAATCCCCAGCAGAGTTCCATCTTTCTTGGCTAGCAATTGCAACAGCATTCACGTGGAAAGAAGCATAGTAAGGTGAAGTAGCCTTGCGAGTTAATTGTTAGTATTTTCAGTCCCTTTCTTTACAACCACGCAGGTTTGCCATATTAACATGCATACAATGGCCCTAGGTAATGTCCATTCTAAGTTTGTCCTCTTTGATCAGGCCTGATGATCTTTTACAAGACCAATGTGTCATAATACTTTGACAGGATTAGAAATTTGTACAGCTACTGAATGCTAATTGAAATTCAAATCCTGTAAGATTCCAATTTCCACAGCAGCATGAGAAACAGCATGTACCATGTCTAATCAAGAAAGTAAACAAGAGGGACTGTGCAGAACTCCATCTGTAGTCACGACATTTTGGGATGTTCTTGGCATTATTTTTCGTGAAAATTGATGAATGGAACTAAATTTCTACTAACAAGAATTGAATTCAAACAATAGTCCACTAAGTCAATGATGTCGGTCTCTACGGGGCAATATAGGCTGATTAATTATTTGGCGATTTGTGACATGTGAGAAAACTAAATAGAGACTGTAATGTGAATTGCAAAGACATGACATTTGGATCAAACCTTTTTGCATTTGCTATGAGAAATGCTTCCAAAGCCCATTTTGTGTAGCAGAAGTTCCCTAGTTTATTAAAAAATGGGTCACCCTCCTGGTTTGCAATCAGAGATAGGACAACCGGAAGCAGCACTGACCACTGCAGGGAGCAGAACTAATTTATGAGCCATGCAAATGGTATATAAATATACTAGTACTATATATATATATATATATATATATATATATATATATATATATCATGCAGTAGGAACTTCAAATGCATACCAATTGGGCAGGACCAGGTTCAAAGTAGATGGCAAGTGTATAAGCTATACCAGTAACACAGTACACCAGACACACCAACACAACATAATTGTCCATAATGCTTGATCTTGGATTGTTGAAGAAATAAAACATTGACATATAAACTGCTGGCTTTACAATTGTGTTAAAATGGTCAACCGTGTCCTTGGCAAGAAAGTAAGCCAAGCTGCTCATGCCAGAAGCACTCTCCCTCCAGTAATGCAACTTATCCAGAGAAAATGATCTCAAAGCTGTAATCTTGCTGAGTAGAGCTGAGAGCAAGGAATAAAAACTTGGTAAATGAGAAAGAATGAACAATATCATCAGAAGAGAATTTACAAAATAATAAGTTTTGAAGAATATCTAATAGCATCGGGCATACGCTTGCAACACATCTCTTGTGTGTCTGCAAACTTTCACGAAATGACAAAGATCTTTAACATGCAGTGCGATATAGTAGTATCATAGATGCTAGCAACATCATGAGATATTAGAATTGATTCTGTGGCACGCATGATTTTTTGAAAGAGTTGAAATGGATGAGACATATCAAAAAGTGATCAATAAGGTAGGATAATTAAACTTACAAACTGCAATGACAGTGTAGAGATATCCCATGGCCCCAAAGGTAGCATCACTCACTTTAGCCAGTGTCCCTAGGCATATTCCAGCGAGCAGTAGAATCAGAAAATCTAACACTTGTGTCCTGGCTTCTCGTAGTCGCTGTTTACCAACTCTGAGCAAAATTGAAATAGTACGTGTAAGCAGATGCTAAGCTAATGGGAGTGAAGATCATTCACCTTTAATCACTATAAGCTACCAAAACGTAGAATTTGAACCAAACATCCTACAGCTTCTGAGATTATCATGAATGCCTACGCATTCTTCCTTCCCTCTCACCCATCAAATGTCATCCAAATGAATATTTTCTAAAAATGAAATGTCTAAAGAAGCGCTCTGGTTCTTGCCATATTACCACCCTAAAGAAGTTAATTCATGTACAAAACAAATATGGTTGGCTCTGAACTCAGAATTGATACATGCATAAAAGAACAGAAATATCTAGGCTGCGTGATACCAAATCAGTAATTGACTGATACCTTCCTAGGAAATATTTGTACTGCGTAAATACGCCTGGGGTTCTTCGGTCAGATAAGTCCTTCGACTTCAAGAAATTATGTTGTAAGTGGTCCTTCTTCAGCTCAACATTGAATTTGACGTCTTCCCACAGGTCTCCAGCGAAAGACTGTCCATCAGCCCCAGCCGCTGCAGGATTCCCGCCATGTGCTGAATCTCCAGTTGCCGCCATTCCAGCAGAATCCAGCATTTCTGGTGGTACTGGATAGCCATTATGAAGCATCCATCTCAGGGGAAGATCTTTGACGTTAACTCCAGAGCTTGCACTCGGTTTTACAATTCCCTCCAAAATATCAATGTAGTAGTCTGGAGGATTAACACGCTCAGGGACTTGGATCCCAATTCCGGAGAAGTACTCTTCAACTTTCTTCACTGATCCATGGTATACAATTAGACCACCCTTAGCTAGAAGTATCAAATCATCAAACATCCTGAACAAGGTGTAGCTGAACCAGGAAAGTAACAGAAACTTAGATGAGAAGGCAACCAATTAACCGTTACATCTTTGAAATTTATTTATGCCTTTCGGAATTAACAAAGAATAAAAACTATATGGCAGTTCATACAGCATAGTTCATCAAAACTAACAGGATAAGAATCAGGAATCATCAAAAATTGAGAAAGAAATATCTAAAATTAAAACGTGCAAGCCTCCTCAAGAATAAGATTCCAAGTCAAAACTAAGAGGAAGACAAATTTTTAACTTCCACAATAATTAGTGAATTATCTGCTATAAAGATTACCTTGGTTGGTGTACCACCATACATATGTTTACGCCTTCAAGAGCTTCGCGACGGAGTGCTCTAAGCAGTAATTGAGAAGAAGAACTATCCAAGCCAGATGTGGGTTCATCTAAGATCAGTAAAGAAGGCTCCATAACCATTTCTAACCCGACATTAACTCGCTTCCTCTGTCCCCCAGAAATTCCTCGCTTTTCCACTGTTCCTACTAAAGAGTCCCTAACCAGCTGCAATCCTAGGGACTCGATGACTCTTTCAACTACTAACACCTTCTCTGGTTTTGGAAGATCAGCCGGTAATCTACAAACAAGAACTCAAGAAAAGAGCACAAAATCAGAATGCAAGCTCGCCGGATAAGTAAAGTTATGAGATTGAATAAGAGAGAATGATATTATTAAATGCCATATGAAGTTAAGGCAAAATTTATGTTAACAATTCTCTTTATATTGGTTTTCTTCCTTGCTTATTCCATGGCCGACATGTTGAACTAGGCACCGACCAAGGGTTATAGCTATTAATCCATGCTCACAAGACTCCTAACTTCATCAAATGCATCAAAATTCACATAGGGAGGAATGATTTCATGAACTGGAAATTCATCCAAACCTCATCATGCATAGAGCAAAAGGAGGCTGTAATGTAAAATGATGTAAAAAAAAATGATAACAAGCCTAGCTTTGAATTTCCTGGATATATAGATGAATATGCTAATTCTTGAAGTTTACAAATCCCACTATTCAGAAGAATGTATATAGTTTTAACTACAGATTAACTTAGATTAACTTATAGGGAAGATAATCTGAGAAGCTTATAGGAAAATATTCAACGGAGGCAGAATATTTAAAGATATGCTTAAAATGACAATATGGGGACAAGAATAAAAACCTTCAACAGAACAAAAACCTTCATACCAATTGGAATTAGTTAGATAACTTAAATTCTCAAGAAATTGGAGTACAGAAGCACCAGTTACCAATAAATCCTAAAAGATGAGTTGAAATGCCATGTGGACTAGTGGTGGCATACCTGCACCTAGCACTAAACCAGAGATTCTCCTCCACCGTCAAGTTTCCATGAACTATATCATCTTGAGGCACATATCCAATAATTCTCTTGTATGAATGCATCGATTCAACCTTACCATTTATGAGAATCAACCCACTCTTGGTGCAACCGGTAGCTTTTCCTGTCAATGCAGAAAGAAATGTTGTTTTACCAGCCCCAGATGGACCCATGACTGCCGAGACATGGCCTGGCACTAGCTTCCCCGTAACACACCTCAAGAGATGCTTCTTTTTTCCTTTCAACGTAAGAGTCAAATCTTTAAAAGCCACTTCAATAGGAAGTCTTGTGGTTATTTCGATATCAGAAGCCATGGAGATTACTCCAGAAAATGTCAAATTTTTGTTCTGCTCCTGTTGAGCTTTCTCTTTCTCAATTTGACCATATGCGTACTTGAAAATTTGACTCCGAGTTTGCAACTGCTTAGCCCTTTGCTTTTTAATGTTCTTGTCTCCAATCTCAACATTGAAGCCATCATGACTATCAGGATTCTCTTCAAGCTCTTGCATCATTTTCGTGAGGTTTCCTCCTCCTTTTTTCTTGCCTTTCGGTTCAGAAGCTTCTGCAGGCATTGGTGGCAAGCCGGCACCTTTCCTTGGTGGTTCTTGCCGAGCAGATTTCTTCCGAGAAAAGGTTCGAGATAACTGTTCTCCCAGTCCAGTTGCATGCTTTCGAGCAACATCCTTTGCTGACTTCCACCTTTCACGTGCCTGTGCAGTTTCCCTTGCACTTCTTGCGGCAGCTTCCCTTGATTTAGCTTGTCTTTTTTCTCTTGTACTC